TGTTGATAACAGTGGTGAGGTTACACCATTTGACTGGTATAATGCTCGTATCAGTCTTGATTTTAAAGTAGTCTTGCTGGCTAATGGAGGTAACATTGCAGTAGCAAATCATAATGGAATTGTAAATGGGTCGTACTCATTCTTGAAACATTTTGATATTAAGCTCAATGGTAAGAAAGTGTATGATTGGAATAACGCAAATCACGCGGTAAATATTAAGAACTTACTTGAGTACAGTCCGGCTTACGCCAGTAAGACAGCAAGTAATGAGTTTTTCTTCCTTGATACATCCAGAAATGCTGAAGAACGGGAATTTGAAGTTAGTGGCACAAATCAGTTAGCCAAAAGGCGAGCAGCTTACAATAAATGTTTTGCCCTTTGAAAAGCACTCTTAGGTACTTCATCTACAGTAAACACTGAAATACCACTGAATAGATACTCGTTTTTTGAAATGTTAGAAGATGAGCTGTTACCCAATACAAGGGTTGAGATAAATTTTGAGATTGAGACAGATGGTAATCTAATTTGGCAGGCTGGGGCTGATTGTAGAGTGGTTATCACTAGGATGCAATTGTATGTTCCGCGAATAACCTTTAACAGTGAAGGTCAATCATCCTATATGAGTCAGTATCTTAAAAATCATAAATGGAGTTACTTGAGAGAAAATATTGAAAGATCAAATAGTAGCCAGCAGAGAGCTGGGCATTTCAGAATCTGTTCTGGTATTTCGAAAACCCGACACGTGTTTGTATTCATAATCACTGATGCAAATATTGATGCCCAGACGGCTAATCCATTCTTGTACAACGCATTCTCTGTATCAACTGACCCAAGAACCTTATCCAATTGTCACTTGGAAGTTGGAAACGGAAATGAATACCCCGAGATACATTACACACCAACTACTGATATGACTAGAGTCTTCAGGGATGTTCTGAAATATGTTCACAAAAATAATGAATACAGTGAAGGGTCATTACTCAATAAATCTAATTTCAGTACCCTATTTCCCTTCCTGTATTTCGACCTAACAAAACAAAAAATGGACATTAAGGATGGCACTACAAAACTGACATTTAAATATGAGCTATCTGGAACAACGGCGGCAGCCTACTCAATTTACGCATTAACATTATATGAGCAAGATGTTGAGGTAATTCAGAAAGATGGTAAAATATTACTCAGATCGTAAATTGAATATGGTTAAAATTATGTAACGTATATTATATACAATTAATGACAAAATATTATCCTTATGGTGTGTCACTTAGTAAAGGACAATTGGAAAAGCTTTCGAGAGCTTACAATAATAATTCTGCAATAACTATCAGATTAGCCAGAAATGAATTATCCGGTCCACACGAATTAATGCTCACAAAAACTCAGATCAATAAACTGAGAAAAGCAATGAGCCAGGGTACAGGATCGGATATCAAGATATCAAAAACACAAATCAGAAAGGCTGTGTTAGACAGGGTGGTAGTTTGTGGGGATCATTAATCAATTTAGGAAGCAAGTTGTTACCTATGGCAATACCCCTAGCCAAAAAAGCTATCGCACCGCTTGCAACAGGAGCGTTATCAGGATTAGCCAGTCTCGGTGTGGATAAAATATTCGGAAAAGGTCAACGAGGAGGTTTTCTTATTCCACATGATAAAATAGCACAATTGATTACGTACAAACATTTACTATCCACAGGCCAGAAAAAACAGTTTTACAAACCAACACAAAAACAAATTAACGGGGGTTTTCTTGGAGCCCTTGCCTCCATTGGTATACCAATCGCTATTGAATTAGCCTCAAAACTCTTTGGTAAAGGACTGGAGGCTGACAGAACCGGTTCCGCTAATACAACATCTGTTTATGTTCCCGATACAACTAATGGCCACGGAATGTATAATCTGTATCCCTACATGTCACCACCTTTGTTTGGAACATGGGAAAATCCAGTTGGTATGGGAGTAAAAAAAAAAAAAAGAAAGGGAAAGGGACTGCTGCTCGGCAAAAACAGCCCATTCAATTCAATCCCAGTTCTAGGAACAATACTGTAAGATTCATAAACAAACCATTTTCTAATATTGATTTGTCACAATGGGTTACACAATTAGGAATAAAATATTTTAGGGGTATCTACAGCCGTGATAATTTACCAGACAAAATGCACAAATTGGAAACAGGAATAATTAATCTTGATGATTCAGTGGGCGGGGGCAGTCATTGGATTTGTTATAGAAACGTGGATAAACAATATTGTGAATATTTTGACCCGTTCGGATTAATCATGCCCAAGAAAATCAAAAATTATCTGAAAACAAGCGGTAAGAAAATAGTGTACTCATCAGATGAAATACAAGAAAGAGACAGTGTTTTGTGCGGTTATTGGTGCTTATATTATCTTCTAGAGCGACCGAAGGGAAAATCATTATTAGATGTTATACACAACCCCAAATTCAGTTTTACAAATCAAATGATAAATCACCAATTTCTGATAAACTATTTTATGTAATCCATATATATAAGATGACTGAAAAGTTTTGTGTTTATTGCCAAGAAGTTACTCCACATTATATAAATCAATATGGATGTTTGGAGTGCTGCAACTGTGAGCCTTTGAGTGAGAGTGATTATGAGTCAGATAGCAGCCATAATACTTATGTTCCAGACGGTAGTGATAGTGAATAAACCTCTCTAGGCAACAGCGTGAAACACGCAGTTGGTCCATCTTTATTACACCAATAGCTACCCCGCCGTTTTGGCGGGTCAGGTCCCAGACCATTTTTATATAACATAAATATATAATAATGGTGAAATCTTATTGTGTTAAACAGAAGAAGCAAACAGAATGTGTAGAACCTTCGGGTTATAAAACTGCCAAAAATGGTAGACTTATGTTTTGGTGCACTTGTGCTGAATGTGGAATAAAAAAGTTTAAGTTTGTCAAGAAGGGAAACTAGGTCAGCCTGTCCTAGGGGCAGGCATATAACTAGCTAGTACTGCTCTTGATGCGTTCGTACATCACGGGCTTCCTTGGATGGGTAAAAAGGCAGTTGAAATGGGAAGATATTACGGGTCAGAAGCATTACGTGATAAAAGGTTACAGAAAAAAGCCATCGATTACGCTCTGGACAAATTGAATCCAGTAATACACAATGTCGGTTCTCAAGCTCTTAACCAATTATCAACCAAAATACGACCAAAGAAAAACTACAAAACAAACAGAAAAGATCTTGATGGAGGTGCTTTGGATATTCACAAGGCCATTGGTAAATTACCAAAACCAGCAGGTGGATGGACTTTACCAGGACATCAGTATACAGGCCCTTACAACGATCTCGAAAATCAAGTCAGATACAATCCAGAAACTGGTGAAATATTAGAAATTTATGATCAACCAACTGGGCCAACCGATGCCGTGGCCATGCAGCACGATGTTGATTATAGTGTTTGTAGGCATGACCGAAAGTGCAAAAATAAAGCTGACCGTAAAATGGTAAAATCGTTAGACGCCATTCCTTATAATGAACGACAATGGGGTAACTGGTTAGCTAGAAATCTAATAAACACAAAACAGAAACTCGGACTTGGTCTAAACTAGAAAAGCCGTCGGGTAACAGTTGGCAACAGCAATTAGCGGATGAATTACATAAACCAATAAAACGCAACTTTACTCGGCGGCGTGTTATTACAACCGGTATTGACAAAATTTGGTGCTCAGATCTGGTTGAGATGCAACAGTTCAGCAAATGGAACAAAGGTTATAGATATCTTCTCATGGTACTAGATCTATTCTCCAAATATGGCTGGATTGTCCCACTGAAGGATAAGAAAGGGGAAACTGTCACAGAAGCATTCAAAACCATCTTCAAAGAGGGCCGTAAACCACAATATCTTTGGACTGATAAGGGGAAAGAATATTATAACAAAAATATGAAAGAATTGTTGGAAAAGAATAATATAACACTATATTCAACCGAGAATGAGGAAAAATCTAGTGTATGTGAAAGATGGAACCGTACAATTAAAACCAGAATGTGGAAGCAGTTTACTGTCCAGGGTAATACCCAATATCTTGACATACTACCAAAAATATTGAAGCAATATAATAACACCAAACACAGTTCCATTAAAATGACACCTGTAGAAGCTAGTAAGAAGAAGAATGAAAATGCCGTATATTACAATCTTTATGGGGATATGAAACAATTGTCATCTAAGCCCAAATTCAAGGTTGGCGATAAAGTTAGGATTAGTAAATACAAGAGAAAGGTGTTTGATAAATGGTACACACCTAATTGGACTGAGGAGATATTCCTGATCGATAAAATCCAATCCACAAACCCAATCACATACAGATTAAAAGATCTCAATAATGAGGAAATACAAGGCAGCTTTTATGAGCCAGAATTACTACCAGCACAACAGGACGTATTTCGTATTGAAAAGGTCATTCGGAGGGATTATAAGAAGAAACAAGCTCTTGTAAAATGGTTGGGTTATAGTGACGACTTTAATAGTTGGATTCCACTAAGCAACCTGCAAGATTTATCTAACTAATAGTATATATGGACGATCATATAAGAAAGCTTGATACTAAAATCCAGAGTAAGGAATCCGAGCTTAAAGCACGATTCACTAAAATCCAAAAATTGGAAGAAGAGATTGCGACATTATACCACAAGAAATTAATATCCAAAAAGCTGGAATCAGCTGAGATGACATTAACAGGCGTTTTAGGTGCAATCTTTGAAACAGTGGAAGAAGAGGAAGAGTAAATTGCCAGCGTCCATAAAACGTGGACGGTGGGTTGGGGTCGTGAAACGCGACCTTAACAAAATGACACTAGAGGAAAATAAATTGCGGCAGTTTTGTTGGGGTGGTAAAACGCCACCTCAGGTCTAATGTGCTGAAACGGCACCTCAGGCCTAGCAAACTTTTTAATCGATCATTCTTATCATATAATATGGTCTGAATGATGATGTTTTTTTATGTAACCTATATATATGATAAGAATGATTGAAAAAATGTTTGTTAATGACGGTTTAGAAATTGAGCTGACATCATTTATTGATGATAAGCAAAATGTTTGGTTCCGAGGAAAAGATGTTGCCCGGATCCTCGGTTATAGTGACACTGATCAGGCTATCAGGAAGAATGTATCTGAGAACCATAAAATAATCCATCTTGTATACCCCCAAATGTTACCCCGTCGTCTGGACGAGTCAAAAAAATATTCCCCCGCCAAATCGGCTGGTCAACAAAATGACACTAGAGGGAAATGGTGCACATTCATTGATGAGGCTGACTCTTATGAACTTGTATTTAGTTCAAAATTAGAATCTGCCAAAAGATTCTGTGATTGGGTATTTACTACAGTCCTTCCATCTATTCGTAAATATGGCCAATACAAACTGTTTGATAGTCCCTGGAATAAGATGATCATGATTGGCAATGAGACCGACCTCCATTATAAAGTTGTGGACCTCATGAGGAGATATTATCCCGATACTATATTAGTAGCAGGTCTGGGTGAGAATCAAGATACTGAGGATAAGAGACTAGATTCATATAAAAAGGGATATATGAGAGGACAGCCTGATCTAATGGTACTCGATTATCACAAAGATTATAAAGGCCTCTGTATTGAATTCAAATCACCAACTAATAATTATCATGTGTCAGAAGCCCAACTAGAGATGAAGAAAAAGTACGTTAATAATTGCTATGCATTTATACTCAGTAATGATTATGATAAGATTAGCAAAAATATCCACCATTATATGAAAGGCATCAGAGTACCGTGTAAATATTGCATCAAACATTTCTATAATAAGGACACACTAAAAATACATTATGAAGTTATCCACCGAATTGAAAAATAAAATTATCACAAACTAAAAACAAGTCAGTATCTATTTAACACACCTTTTTTATATTCCATAATAATATACATAATATATATATATATATATATATGGAAGATTTTATCCGTCTTTTAGCCAAACAACAATCTCTATCAGGAGGTACTAGTTTGATATTTGTGTATATTCCTCCAAATGGTAGAATAAGCCTTAGTAAACAAAAATTAACCAGTGAATTAGGCCTTGTCTCAAATATTAAGTCAAAAGTCGTACAAAAGCACACAAAAACCGCTCTAAAATCAGCATTATAGCAATTAAACCAACTAAAACAACCACGAATTTCATGCCGTGGGTTGTTACTACTATCTGGCATCATAAAAAATACTTGTGAAGGATACAAAGGATCAGTACTCATTGAACCTGAGCAAGCAATAGAAAAAGCTGATTATGAATGCGGTAAGAGCTTTTATTTAGATCCTATTTTACATACTTATAAAAAGCAAATCGTCGAAGATCCGATAATTGACAAAATATTGGATATGATTGAAAAAGCCGATATTGATAGATTAGATTTTGGACTCACAAAATTACCAATAATCATTCTCATATTGTATTCACAAATGAGGATAAATATCAAAAATATCAAATAGATCCTAACTCAAAGACCAAAATAATATATAGTAAAATAATCATGTTGCTCATATACAAGAAATAATGGAAAATTACATGGCTTATTATCAGAGACATAATCATATGAAAACAAACAATTGTAAATTTTAACAATATCACGAAATTTAAATAAACCTAGATGAACATAATGAGGAGTGATATGATCTCGTAAAGGAACGTCATTCATTACTCTAACTGCTTTATTTTGTAGACGTATGAGCTGTGATAATGGATTATCATAATTATTTCCCCACAATAAGTAACCATATATGAGATATGAGTAAACAAGAGAATAGTAAATACTACTTAAGCATTGATTTCCTAGATAACTTTTTATCTTTGTCATAATATTAATACTCTTACTGACTTTATCACAAACATAGTCGATATGGTCATGACAGGATAGGTGGCTGTCAATATAGATACCTAAGTATTTAATTTTGGATACTTGCTCTAAGCATTGTCCAGCTATCGATAGCGGAGGTAATAAATTATAATCTACTTTCTGACGAGGTTGAAAGATAAGATATTTAGTTTTTCTTAAATTTAAGGTTAATTTATTTGCACATAGCCAGTCATAAATATTAGGTAGTTCTTTATTTATCTTTAATAAGAGTTCATCTATATTTTTAGCTGAAGCTGTTAAAGAGGTATCGTCTGCAAATAGTCTCATGGAGAAGAAATGAGAAGATTGAGTAAAGTTGTTTATATATATCAAGAATAACAACGGTCCTAAAATTGATCCTTGAGGTACACCAGAAGAAATCAGCATGGTGTCAGAAATGTTACCATTTACAAAAACTCTCTGCTTTCTTTTATCAAGATACGATTTGAACCAGTCGATATGAGGTTTTTGAATGCCATAGAACGATAGATTTGGTAATAAAATCGAATGATTGACGGTATCGAATGCTTTACTCAAATCTAAAAATATTGATACAGCATAATCTCCTTGATCTAGAGAGGTACACATTTCTTCAATGAGATCAACAAGACGGTCCACAGGGGTACTGCCTGGCTTAAATCCATATTGAGTAGGAGTGATAATATTTTCAGACGAAAAATAAGATACATGTTGATTATAAATACATTTTTCAAAAACTTTACTTAATACTGGAAGAACTATAATTATCACACAGTGAACGGGATCCCTGTTTAAAGATAGGAATCACCTTAGCGATTTTTAGATTATCAGGAAAAGTTCTTTGCTTGATGGACAGATTAATTATATACGTTATAGGACGAAAAATTTGAAATTTGAAGTTGAACGGGTTAGTACTGTAAGTTCCATTATATCCCCGAATATCCACTTAGACCAGCACGATTCGTTTGGAGATGTGACCCAAAAAGATGTTGTCGGGGTTAAAACTGCTAAATCCTCTTGGAATAGACAGCACTTTACAATCGATTCGGCGAACTAGGTACTTAGCGCTGGAGTATTTTAGTGCAGCCGCATGGCCAAGTATAATAGAGGAGGCCAATTTCACCCGGTGAACGAACAAGATGGCTTCTGTGATTACCACCCTGAAAGTTGGAGCGGCTGCTGATGACATTAGACAAAAAGAGTTCTTGGCTTGGTTCAGTTTGATTCTTAAATTCACTCCATTTAGCATCAACCGATCTTGAAAGAAAATGTCGCTATGAATGGGCCCCATCATATCCACAATATGACTCTCTTTAGTGAAATCATAGCGAACCTTTAACCCCTTGTTTGCAGCATCGTCTGCAGCCACAGGGTTGGCAACATCCATTTTTCCAGGGGTATCTTTGTAAAACATGGCCATAGAAAGTTGACTTGTTTTTGCTTCTTCTCCGTAGTTTAGCAAGGTTTCGATCATGGCGCGATACCGGTAGGTATTGGTGGATGGAGAGATCAATCGCTCGTTCAAGGAAACGTCCACTTGCGAAAACACGGAATGTAAAAACAGGTTCACGGGACCTACTTGTGTATCGGCATCTATGGCGGTTCCATTTGCTTTTGTGATCTTGGCTTTAACAAATAACTGAGTACGTGCCAAGTCCAAATAATAATCTCCGGTTCCCGAAACATAAAATTCTGATGGGGTGGTACTCGATCCATTGCCCTTTAAAGATAGAGGTTTCTGTTGCAGGAATCGTAAAGAGATTCAACTCTGATTTCCTACACTCCTGCGACTAGTGATGCCCAAAGGCCATAGTTACTTCCAGAAAGAAAATTTCTCTTTGGGGTTCTTTTGCTGCGGAGATGTTTTTGCTTTCTTGCCTAGCGGCGAACTGATTTTGCTTCCTTGCGCTTTTCTTTTTATAGCTTTTTCGCCAGTTTCTGATTGTCCCTGCAATGAATTCTGGAAAGGTAGACCGAGGGCTTGTCTCGTGCGCTTGTGGACTGCTGTTTTAATGTTATCTTCATCAAGAACATCTTGGACGACATTGACACCTGTTTGTAAAGCCTTTTGTCCAATCACCTTAGCACCCTGTTGAAGGTGAGGCATCGCCCAGCGAAACAGACCTCTTAATATGGACCCTAGTCCATAACCCCGCTGAAATCGAGCACCGTCAAACGCTGGTAAAGTCCCACCTTTTTGTTTGGCTTGATTAACATAGTACTGTTCGTACAACTTGTGATTTGGAGTGTGGAGTTTTTTCATCTTTAAAAGTACTGAGGTGCACTTTGACAAAAATGAAGTGTTAACAACACTCTCCCAAACTCAAATGGTACAGACTCCCCTGTGTGTGTCCTTATATTGGCTTCGACAGTTTCAAATTGCTTTCTGCTGACAGGTAAATATTGGGGGCGCAAAAATTATTTACTGACTCGCTCCCCGACCTTACCTTCTACAGGAGCAATTCGAAGCAAAGGTACCAATGCATCTCCAACATATTGTGACTGAATAAGATCACAGTAAATGAAAAGGTCGGGAAAGCCGTATTCCAAATCCACTTGTCTTTCAGCGGTAGAGGAGTTAGAAACAATTTCTTCTGGTGAAAATCCAAGCAGGTATCCAATGTTATCAAAGAAAAGTTCTACGTTTTTTTGTAGGTGAACAATCACCTTTCTAGTGAATGTATCCTAGGAGAATGTCACCTCGTCATTGAAACGCTTTTCATTCTCGATCAGCCCTTTCATCTTTGATAAGATATCTCTAATCGAAGAATAATGACCTGGTGGTATAATTAGGGCCTCCCATACTCCGGACAATTCTTGGTTCCGAAGGAAGAATCGATTACCAAAATTTTCTTGGACATTATTTCAGCTCCGAGGATAATGAATTTCCGTTAACGCTACTTCCCAGTCCCCCGTCAAGCTAATGGTTTGAGGTAAACCAACATGGTACTCCGTTAATGTGTTGTTGGGAAACTTATCGAGGGTGCTATTGCATTCATTTTATTAGTTCATTTTCTTTTATTCTCTGCACAAAAAATGCATAAATTACTATTTCAAAATATCACTTTCTTGAACCCAAGAATCAAATTTTGGATCTTCGTATCCTTTCCATCTCACAAGATATTCTACTACTCCTTTACGCTTTCTCTTCCGCAAAATCTTCTCGACGCGGGACACATGATCGTTCTTAATAATTTTCTGCAATTCGGGTTCATAAAATGGTCCATCTAAGATTTCACCTGCATCATGTTTTAGTTTATAAACGGGTACTTGACGAGCCATTCGCTTGTAAACAGTAAAAATTTCTTCCGTAAAATTAGGTAAGTAAGATTTTTCAAACATTCTCTTCACTTTGCTAATCCTGACGCGATCTCCCACTTGAAATTTATATCGCACAGGCTTTTGAACGTCATCCCCACACAAAGTATCCCACACTTTAGCTTCATTCGCTTTAGTCACCTGACTCGGTTTCATTTTAATACTTCGGTGGTAAGTGTTATTGTAAGAAGATACTAACTGCGGTAATACATTGATATAAGTGAGAGTGTTTTTGACCGTGAAATATTTGTACATCTTATTCTTAAATGTTCGGTTAAAACGCTCAACCACTGAGGCTTTGAGCCCAGAGTTAACAGTAAAAAAAGTCAATGTTGTTGTCACGCAGAAATTTCTGGAACACGCGATTCAGGAACTCTGTTCCTTGATCTGTTTGCAGATTGATGGGTTTGCGACCAGTAGAAATGATCTTTTGAAAAGCTTTGACCAGTTCTTGACCTTGTTTTGTCTTCAAAGGTAACACAAACGCGTACTTGCTGAAGATATCTATACAAGTCAGTAAGTATTTATAGCCCTTGTTGCAGCGAATGAGATTTTGGAGGTCGACCAAATCCGCTTGAAATTGCTCATCTATTCCAAAAACGATGACTCGACTTCTCTT